CCAGTGTGGATCCTTTGGTGACGATTAAGACTTCCTTTCCAGGTAAAGGTATTTCCACATTCCATGCATTTATATGGTCTGTCCCCAGTGTGGATTTTTTTGTGACGATTAAGATCTCCTTTCTGGGTAAAGGTCTTTCCACATTCCATGCATTTATATGGTCTCTCCCCTGTGTGGATCCTTTGGTGGCAAGTAAGATTACTGCTGTTATTGAAACTCTTTCCACACTGCATGCAGACTGTCCTCTTTCTGCTCAGACTGGAATCCCCTCCAGTTTTTACAGAGATATGTGGTTTGCATTTCCAATACAGTTTCTCTGGTGGAGTAGAAGCGAAGGAGTTATTCCCCATAGTGTCTAGAGGCATACAGGTTTTTTTTAGTGTGGTTTCTGCCATAGTTATGTAATTGGAATTCATGTTTTCTTTTTTTCTATATTTTCCTTTTCTCATTTCTTTCTGATCTTGCTGGGACAGGAAGCAACAAATACCAAGAGAAGTGGATGACTTTTCCCCTCCATCTTCTTGCTGTTTTCTCTTTAGCCTTTTCGTCTCCCTCTGATCGCCAAGGATTACGTTTACTTCGTTCTTCTTTATTTCGAGTAGATTTAACCTTGCCTCCTTATCGTTCTCATTCACAGACACATCATCTGCATGGGAAAAAAAGAGAAAATGAACGTTCTAATTAGAATTTAGAAGGTCCCTCTCAAAAACATGCCAATCTACATTCCAGGTTTAGTAAAATCCATTTGTCTAGCCAGGATGTGATATCTGTAAATTGTTATCTAGGACAGGGCTTTTCAACCAGTGGTATGCATAGCACCTGTGGTACATTGGCATGTGGCAGGTGGTACATGACCTTGCCCAGCCCAGCCCAGGGTAGCAGGGGAGTGAACGAGCCAAAGTGGCGCAGTGCAGGACGTGCCCTGAGAGAATCTTCAAGATCTGCAGGGCTGTTTGGGGTGAGGCAAAGGCTCCAGGATTGGCACTTCCAGAACACTTGGAAGAGAAAGGGGGGGGGGGCAGAGACAGGAAAGGATCTAAATGAAGGCAGTTTGGGCGGGAGAGGAGAGAAACAAAAAGAAAAGACACAGCCTTGGGAAGAGGAGGAAGAGTCAGCTGAAGCTGCACCAAAGGGAAAAGGAGGAGGGGTGAGAGGACAAAAAACAGGCCGGGCATGCACACAGGTGGCGACACACAAGTAAGAAACGCACCTGGGGAAGGGTCGCGGTATGAGTCCACGTTATCTGCACTATTCCGCCCAGCCCCCCTGCCTGCCCAATTTCAGCAGGCAGCGGCGCTCTCTCTTCCCTGTGCGGAGAGGAGGCGGTGTGTGCATGCGCCTGGGGTCCCGGATGAAAGGGAAGCGCTGAGAACACGGTCAGCCTGCGTGGCAAAACAGTCACCTGGGATGACAGGCGCCCAGCGCATGCGCTCGCCGCCACCTCTGCACTCGCACAGGCAGGTTCGGCATGTCGCCAGTTCGCCTCACCCGGCCGCTCCGTGCAGTAAGGAGAGCGCACCGCTGCCTGCTGAAACCATGCTGGGATCTGAGCGGCGTAGCATAGGTAACATGGACTCTCATGCCGCTCACACCGTCCACAGGTGTGTGAAGGGTCATTTGCTGATCTCCTTCAGGGGATGCCTGTTTTTCTCCCTCCCTCATTACAAATATCTGAGAGGGAATGAAGGAAGAAAAGAAGGGAGAGAATGGGAGGGAGGGAAGGAAAGGAAGGACAAAGAGGGAGGGAGGGGACAATGAGACCCACCCCAGTCCCATCCCCTACAAGAAAGTCCCACGGATCCCCCCAAAGCCCCGCCTGCACCCCCCACAGCCGCCCCGAGACCTGAGTGACATTGAGTTGCCCGCCTCCCCCCCCCAGCCATTGACTTCACTTGTCAAAAAGTTGCAAAAGGTGATTACATGACCCTGTGACACTGACCGTCATAAGTATGAATCAGTTGCCAAGCATCCGAATGTAAATCACATGACCCTGGGGATGTGCAACAGTCATAGATGTGAAAAATGGCCATAAATCACTTTTTTCAGTGCTGTTGTAACAACAGTCACTAAGCGAATAGTCGTAAGTAGAGGACTACCTGTACTTTATCACTTTTTTCCTTTTTTGATCATCACGTTTTTGACACCTTGCTAGGCAATTGGTGGTACTTGGATATTGCTTTATCCTAAAAGTAGTACAATGGATGAAAAGGTTGAAAAGCCCTGATCTAGGAGTCTCCTGATAGTATAGAAAGAATGTTTTCAGCCAAAGAACAGATTAAAACTTTGGTGTTGATCAGTCAATCTATTCAGTCACTTTCATGGAGTATCTAGGACATTTCTCAATTCTACGGTGAATATTTCTACCACGGCCTTATAGAGAACTGAACAGCCTGGCCTTACCCAGAGCAGCCTTTTTCCTAGAAAACTCCTGCACGACTTCTCTGCACAAGGCCTTCTGGCCGGAATCTAGCAGCCTCCACTCCTCATCTGTGAAGTCCACAATCACCCCCTTAAAGGAATCAGAGCTCTAGAAAGAGAAAAAAGCAGACAATCCCAGGAAACAGTTGAAAGTTCTCTCTCTTACTGCACACAACAGAAAACACACAGTTGCAAGAGCCAAATGGACATTTTCTTTCAGGACAGATTCATGTCATCCTGTCCACATAGTCTGTGGGGCTGGGAAGATGCAAGTGAACAAATCACGGCTTAGCTGCTTCCAGGTTGTAGAATGCAACAGCCAATGTTGGGGAGCTTCCCAGTGGCCTGGAGTAAGTCATCAAGTAGGTTTTTGGCAGAAAATCCCCTAAATCTACCTGCCTCGCTGACCAAATTCCTGAGAAAACAGGACATAGCCACTAGGAACTTCTTTCCTAACCTATTTCAAAATATTGGCAATGTCCTTGAAATCCCAAGTCACTTGAACAACAGTTTTATTCTTACAGCCACTTAGTGTTGACTTACTGGGTTATACTTCATGTGCTACATTTTTCTTGGTATACTTACAGATACCTTACAAGGGAGATGGGTGGCATGTTTAATAAAATAAACACTTCTCAGGCATGTTTAATCCCACTGTTATTGTTTCAATTCATGGGTTTCATTTCTAACTATTTTAGGCACTCTTCTTAATAGTATTCAGAAATATTAAACTCTTTCTACAATGAAGTTACATTTCTAATACAAAGTTCCCTGCCTGTGAATTGTCCCATTTGCATTTCCAGAACTCAGCTTTTGGTATTAAAAACAGCTCCTGAATGGATGGAGCTGGAACGCTACTGTTCTCAGAAGAAATCTGCACCTACCTGGCAAGGTGGCCAGAGTTGGATCCTCCAGAAAAACAGCTCCTGAATAGAGCGGAATAGATCTCCTCTGCCCCGGAGCTCTGCTGAAATCTCCTCTGTGAACGGCTCCTGCATCAGAAGAATAACCTAGTTCATGATCCACTTTCAGAGGACCATATGGATGTTAGTTTGCATTCCTTATCTTTCCCTTCCCTACCTGTACTTCCCCAGGTGAATTCAGAGACACTTCAGGGACTTTGCATGTGATTGTATTTCCCAGTAAATGATGAACGGGAGAGTTAAAACAGGAGGCTGAGTTTCCATGTACATAAACTGTAAGGATGTGTTAATTAGTTCACTTCTCTTAAGTATTGTGGTATTCTAGGGCTTCTTAAATGTGGCTCTGTATCAGAAGCCATTCACATAATCCAGTTGCTTCCCCTTATCTAGATTCAGGTAGCAGCAGATCATGCCAATTATTATGAGATATGGTTGACAACATTACGAATGATACAGAAGTCAATTCTTCAAAGGTGAGAAATTCCATAAAAGGCTGCAGAGTCATATTTTTAATCTCTTTTATTAGAGACATGGCTAGATCTCCGATCCTTCCCCCCCCCAATGGATCTCCCAGGATGAAGCCCCCCCCCGCCCTCCTCACCTGCCCCTTTCCCGGCTCTTCCCGCTGGGCTTGGCTGAGGAGGAAGCCTTCGGCCAGGGCCACCGCCTGCGAACAGCTCTCGGCTCCGCACTCCCTCAGCCAGCTCGCCATCTCCGCGGGCAGCAGGGCCAGCAGCTGCTCCAGCACCACCAGGTCCAGCATCTCCCCTTTGCTGCTCCTC